TTCTTCTCTTCTAGTAGAAAGTTCTTCTAACTTTCTTTTCTACCCCTTTGCTTTTTTACTTCGTCATAGATTATTCGAGTGCAATCTTAGAGTGAGAGGTACCGTGCGGCGTATAGAATAAGTTAAGCGTGCGTGTGAGGGATCCCATGCGATTAGTATTAAGTTAATGTATGTGTGCGTGTGTGTAATACAAGTTCTTTACTGGATTGTGGTAAAGAACTTGTATGTGCGAGCCTATGAGTTAAGTAGAGTCAGAACTCATTTATCCTTCTGATAAATGAGGTATTGCAATTGGAGGGTGGTAGGGATTTGGAGTTAGGGTGGGTCACTATCGTAGCAACCTCCACGTGGTGTGACCTGGTAATCGATATCGTTTTCTAAACATTTTTATAAAAATGAACTTTAGAAAACGATATCGAGCTAATAGCTACGAATTAAATTATAATTTCATTTATATTTTCTTTTACGAAAATGTTTGGATCAAGTAAACAAATTATAAGGAAATGAAAAACTTTATTTCTCAAGAAATTACAGATGAATGTTTTACAGAGATATGACAAAGTATTTATTACAAATAAAGTACTGGTGAATATGCAAGTTTAAACTATTCTTTTTCGACCACCATACTTGTAAACTATGCGCATTTGCACCCCCGATTCTCTCTAGGAGGTGGATTTCCTTGTCCAGTGTCGCCTCTTGTTATATCTACTCTTTGGTTGAGTAAAGAATTCAGTCATCTTTCTCTATTTCACCGTAGTAGCGTTGCAATCGCGGGACAGAAATTTACCTTGCATGATTAGTCTAATACGCAACTTGTTCGTGGTGTACTTCACATGCATACCTGTCTGCATGTATAGATACGGACACGATAAGTATCAGTATCTGCATTGACTTACGCGGCAGAGTAGAAAAACACGAATCCAAAATATGGCAAGTTCGTCAAGGTAAATGTTGTGAAAGTTTTGCCCAATATTTTTCTGTAGATATTAATAACATATGTTATAATATTTTATTTAAAAAATTGTCATTAAGCTGTAACAAATCTAGGTGGTTTGTACATAAATTGATATCACGAGCTGTGGTTATGAAATGTGACAGTAACATTGTTTGTTTGTTGTTAATGTATTTTTAATTGTCTTTACTGCATTATTATCTATTATATTTTATTTGTATAGCTCATGTCTTCAAAATTCATTTGTTATGATTTTAATATTTAAAGACCTAAAAATGTATCAGATGGAAATTAAACATTTTTTTTTAGATGCAAGTGCAAACGTAATAATACAAAAAAAATATTAGCACTCTTAAGAAGCTTTAAGACATTAATATATTTACATAAACAAGTATATTTCTATTAATCTTTCCTTGCAGACATGAAACAAACAAAGTTTGTTGTTATGCACATCCAGATGCACCACTTATTGAAGACTACAGAGCTGGGGATCAAATTTGCTCAGAGTGTGGATTAGTTGTTGGCGATAGGTAAATATAAAAGTAATGTATTAATAGACTTAAATTAATTTAATTGTCAAATATTTTTTATTAGGGTAATAGATGTTGGTTCAGAGTGGAGAACATTTAGTAATGAAAAAGCTGGTGTTGATCCATCGCGTGTTGGTGGACCAGAAAACCCACTCCTTAACGGTTCAGATTTGTCTACCATGATTGGCCCAGGAACTGGTGCAGCATCGTTTGATGCTTTTGGTGTATCAAAATATCAAAACAGACGTACAGTAAGTGTTCTAGATATGATACAATATTTTTTAATGGTTTAAACTATAAAGAAGAGCTTAATGTATTATAAAATTTTCAGATGAGCAGTTCAGATAGGGCATTAATTAATGCGTTTCGTGAAATTAATGGTATGGCTGATCGTATTAATTTACCGAAAACTATTGTTGATAGAGCTAACAATTTGTTTAAACAAGTACATGATGGTAAAAATTTAAAAGGTCGTGCAAACGACGCTATTGCTTCCGCCTGTTTATATATTGCCTGTAGACAAGAAGGTGTACCACGTACTTTCAAAGAAATTTGTGCAGTCAGTAAAATTAGTAAAAAAGAAATTGGAAGATGTTTCAAATTGATTTTGAAAGCACTTGAAACCAGCGTCGATCTTATCACTACAGGAGATTTTATGTCCAGATTTTGTTCTAATCTTGGTCTTCCCAATATGGTGCAGAGAGCTGCAACACATATTGCCAGAAAAGCAGTAGAAATAGATATTGTACCTGGACGATCACCTATTTCAGTAGCAGCTGCTGCAATATATATGGCATCACAGGTATATAAATTGTTTAAGAAAATTGTTATTCATAGTATGTCATCATTCTATTATATTATTTCTCTTCAGGCTTCAGAGGACAAGAGGTCCCAGAAAGAAATTGGTGATATTGCTGGTGTAGCAGATGTTACCATTCGACAGTCTTACAAGTTAATGTATCCTCATGCAGGAAAATTATTTCCTGAAGATTTCAAATTTGCAACACCTATCGATCAATTGCCCCAAATGTAAAGATAATATGCAGCCTTATGTTTCAATGTATATTTTATCATGTTGAAACAGTAGTTTATGTATCTGAAGTAATTATTCATAAATAATTTATCCTTTATTTTCAGTACACATTCCTAAATTGGTATTATCTTATTTATTACATAATGATTACACTTTATATTTTCTCTTTCTTGTTGTACTTTGTTCATATGATATTTGTATTACAACAGTTAGCTGGATAATTTGTATGGTGTGGATAATTAATTTACAATCGTCTCTAGAGTTGCAATGTTCATTTAGTTTTTTTTATTATTAAGTAAAATTTTAATATTTTAAATATAAAGATGAAGTACATGTTATAACTGTTATGATTGTTTTTATACAAATATAAATGATTTTATTAATATAGAAATTATGTTTCAACATGTTAAAATGAAAAAAAAATTGGTACAATTCTAAACTTATTGACATAAGATATTTGATACCAAAAATATATTAGATTTCAAGCTTCGCGAATCTAATGGATAAAGTGGAATTTATATTGTAGATTTAAATAATATTAATTTTGCTTAAAATGCAGTAGCACAATATTTTATATTTGATCTCCAACAAAAAATAACAAAAACTAAAAATAAAATTTATTACAAACTTGAAAGTACCACACAGTACAAGTGTATATTACATTCTGTGATACTTCTACACGACATAAGTCAAATATTTGCAATTAGTACACTCAACTAAAATTCAGAAGACAATAGATTTTCTCGTATTAGATGATGTATATATACATTATTTTCCATTCAAAATTTGTATGAAATACTACATAAGAATGGTAATGAAGACAAATTTTAAAAAATGAAGTATAAATATTTCATACATTTGTTGCAAGATATGGTAAGTTTGTTGCTCATACCAGTCCAACATTATCATGGAATTGATAATAATAAAAATATCATTTTCTTTTCATCTTTATGTTTAATAATGGGGATTTTTTATTATTTTTAATTCTGACCGAATGTACAAGACCCCGAAATTTTATGAATACATGTAAACATATCTGAAATCATATTCTAATAAAACAAATTGTTGAAGTTAGATAAATGTTTTCTTTTGCGTTGGTACCTTTTGTCATATGGCCGAATGTCACTTTCAAAACGTCAGTGCGTGTGGATTTATATGTCACAATAGCACGATCTAACAATTATTGTTTTTGGTACAAAAGATAATTATTTAGTACTTTCATAATTATTTTTGACAAGTACTTGTAGAAATGGATTGTTAACTATTATAAAGTTGTATACGAAACAACGTAACCTATATGTATATATAAAGTTCATAGTAAATAAGAAAATTGTTATTATACAAAATAGATAAAGATTTCATTTTTGTTCCCTTTACCTTTTTTTTTTGTGAATATCAAAAGATGAATTCAGTGCCTCCAACTAAGCCTCCAAGAGGCATTAAGCCAACTAAAGAAACGGTAAGCTTAATTAAAATTACTTCATATCATTATTTTAGTGGTTTTTTTTACAATTAGTTTGCTTTATTCTTAATTAGCTATTTTGTACAGAGTGGTTTGTTGATTTCTGTGATCCGTGCTTTATCAGCAAGTGAAACTAATGAACAACGAGAAATAGAAAAAGCTAAACTTGAAAAAGAATATAAGAAAAGTGACCAGAGACTCGATGAACTAGTATCTCTACATGATCAAGATCTTACACAAGTTATGCAGGTAAATATGCATTCAATTTTGGATAATAATGGTTTTATACATGATATTAATAATATTTCCATTATTTTGAATCCCAGATATTTAGTGCTTTATCAGAAAAAGTCACTGCATCTAGAGAGAAGATTCATGCAGTCAAGGAAAATTTGAATGCCTGTAAACAACTATTGAGGTGTAAGAGAGAAGAATTATTAAATTTGTGGTTGGAAGGTATTGAACATAAGCATGTGTTGCACCTTTTAAAAGATGTGTAAGTATTGATATGCTTTTTGACAAGAAGATAACTGCTTAAATATATTTACAATTGATTATTGTTCAATCCTTAGGACACCTGATACCTGTACACGAATGTTGCCTTTAAATGATTCAGATACATTATCAGTAGCAACATCATACAATGCAACATCAGACTGATAAATGTTAAATTAATTTATAGATAGTTATAAAGAAATTGTAATTCAATTATTTTATATTTATACATCATAAGAAATAAAATATAAAACATATATTTTTCCTCAGTTTCAAACCATAATTATGTCAATTAAGTATATTGAAAACCACAATTTTATATACTTTTTAAAACGCGTGCACTATTTGAGAAAGTATTACTAACGCGATCTGTTGGTAAAAACTATATTCCGGTGGTAAAACCAAGTTTCAATGGATATGGTAGAATGTGACGCGAAAATGATAATGTAGATCGTGCGATAAAGACAACAATGGCACGAGTGCTCTATCCTACACGTATTTCGTTTGTGGTATTACTGTAAATACGTGCAACTAACTGAGCTTATCAATAATTAATTAATTCTTTAATATTGTTGGATTAAAAAGTATTCAAAACGTATATCGTAAGTAACTTTTACTTTTTAATACTTTGTCATCGTTTCATAAACCGATTTTTGTATAAATTTCTTATAGTTTTTAAATCTTTATCTTATTTAAACATTTACTATTCTAAATGATTTATATTTGTACAACTTATGATTTCGATCTTTACATCACGTACGATGAGCAAACATTTCCCACTCGATTTCCTCATTAATATCAGTAACTTTCCATAAAAATCAGCATAAAAAATGTAAAAAGCCGTTTTCACAGTAGTTTCTTATAAAAGATAGTAATTATAAATTTAAAGAGGAAGCATTTATTGTTGCAGGTAGAGATGGGAACATTGGAATTAAAACAAACTTTGAATGGACATAGAGGAAGAGTGTGGAATGTTTGCTGGCATCCTAAAGGCACTTGCCTTGCATCTTGCGGTGAAGATAAAACAATTATTATATGGGGTCCACAAGAACCAAAGTGGGTTATAAGAACCATTCTTACGGAGGGTCATTCAAGAACTATAAGAGAAATAGCATGGTCTCCTTGTGGGAATTACATAGCATCTGCTAGTTTTGATGCGACCACTGCTATATGGGATAAAAAATCGGGTCAATTTGAATGTAATGCAACATTAGAAGGACATGAGAACGAAGTGAAAAGTGTTAGTTGGTCTTGCAGTGGTCAGTTGTTAGCTACTTGCAGTCGAGATAAATCTGTTTGGATATGGGAAGTGAATGATGATGAGTATGAGTGTGCTGCTGTTATTAATGCTCACACTCAAGATGTGAAAAAGGTAAGTAAATCTTACGAAATAGCAAGTATAGAGATTGCCTTAAAAGTATAGTAATATTAAGGTAATATTTTTTATTTTATTTTCAATAAACATATATTTTAATTATAATAGGTAAGGTGGCATCCTAATGAAGAAATAGTAGCATCTGCAAGTTATGACAACACAGTAAAGATATTTAAGGAGGATGCAGCAGACAATGATTGGTCGTGTATAGCAACATTATCATCTCATACTTCAACAGTCTGGAGTCTTGCATGGGATAAGGCTGGTAATCGAATAGCAACATGCAGTGATGATCAAACAGTGAAGATATGGCAAGAATTTAAGTCTGGTAATGAACCAGGAATAGTTACAGTAAACAATGAATCAGTTTGGAAGTGTGTGTGTACAATATCTGGTTATCATACAAGGACAATTTATGATATTGATTGGTGTAAAACAACTGGGTTATTAGTGACTGCATGTGGTGATGACATTATTAGAATATTTAAAGAAGACAGTGATTCCGATCCTAATCAACCTACTTTTACAATGGTTTGCTCAATGGACATTGCTCATATGCAAGATGTAAATTGTGTGCAATGGAATCCTACTGTTCCTGGACAACTTGCATCAGCTAGTGATGATGGCTTAATAAAAATTTGGTTTTATAATGAATAACACGTTTATTGTTATCTTAATTGTAATTGTTTATTTTAATAATAAATATATTTGAAAGAGACAAATTTGCTTCATTTTTGTACTTCAGTAATAAATAATTATAACTATGTTTTATATTTGGTCTATATTACTTGTTTGCTTGTTTTAGGTTGCCATAAATGTTGAAACATTTTACTATACTGAAAAGACACTGTAAAATCATTGTCCATAACATTAAGCAGAAACATAGCAGTACTTTGTTTGCAATGAGTGCCTTAAAGCCCGATGGTATTGGGGTTCCTTTAACCCAGGTTGTAGAAACACTGCATAAATTTGCTGATCCAGCCCTTGCATCTTCTTGGGATAATGTAGGGTTGCTTATTGAACCCACAGAAACAAAGTTGGTCTCCCATATTTTATTAACAAATGATTTAACTGAAAGTGTCATGCAGGAAGCTTTAGGTTTGAAGACAGATATGATTATTACTTACCATCCTCTAATATTTGCTCCCTTAAAGACTATAAGAGCTTGTAATTGGAAGGTGATTATTCGTTACCCTTGCTTGCTAAACTAACTGAAGTCATTTTTATAATATACATTATTTAAATTTTTTTTTAGGAGAAAATTATTGCTAAATGTTTGGAGAATAGAATAGCTGTATATTCACCGCACACCAGTTTCGATTCCGTAAAAGGTGGCGTAAATGATTGGCTAGCTTCAGCATTTCAAAATGGTAAATTTAAAAAAAAATATTTATCAATCCTGTGAATTATTATATAATTAATATTGTTGTGTTTGAAAGTACTTGAGAGCAGTACGCCGATAGAAGCGAATGAAAGCAATGCAGATTATGGTTATGGTAGAATATGTACGCTAAAAAGTAAAATCTCAATTGAAGATGCCGTTCAACGTGTAAAGGATCTTACGGGTTTGAAACATGTTAGATTAGCTCGTGCTTGCCGAACAGGTATAGACTGAAATTTTTATTTAAAAAGTTTATTATTAACAATAACCAATTCCATGTTTAAAATTTTGGGTATTCTTCCAGACGGTTTGATCAGCACTATTGCACTTTGTGCTGGATCTGGGGCGTCTATTTTAAAAAACGTGTCTGCTGATCTATATCTTACTGGAGAGATGTTACATCATGATGTTCTTGATGCTGTACACAAAGGAATCAGTGTGATATTAACAAATCATTCCGATTCGGAACGCGGTTTTCTCAAAGCATTTGCATTTACTTTAGAAGATATGTTAAACAAATCAGTAAACGTGAGTGTATCTAAACATGACGCGGATCCTTTGAAAACGGTTTAATTGCATTAAAGAATTACTCAATAAAAGAAGGCACAGATATGCTTATCTAAACTTGGGATAAACATCTATACGTGTAAAAAATTTAATTGTTAATGTCAAAAATTATTTTTTTCTTTGAGGATAGACAGTTTTTATTTCAACTTGATGAAGTTATCAATTGGAGTGATATTAAGGAAATAATCGGTACATAAAAGAATCATATTATATTGTAGTATAACACAAATAATTTACAGCTACAACAGAAACTGTATTTCAGTTTGTGTATAACGCGCTTAAACTACTTTTGCAATTAATCTTTAAACATATGTAACCATTATAGAATTAATTTCCCTTAATTCGATTATTGAAATATTTCTCATTTGCTTTACCATTCGTCCTTTTATTTTTTTTGTCACTTCTTATATGCTCACATTCACACAATAATCACGCATGACGATTATGAAGAGAAACCTGTCTTTTTCTTGTTATAACAACGTACGTAATAGACGCGTATCAGTTGAAAACTTATCTAAATAAAATACAACAGTCGTTAATTCTGGTCCAATTATAGAATTAATTTTCCGAGCTAGGTCCACTCATTCAACATTCTTCGTTTCTCAGTATGTTTCTATCTTTTAAATTTGGGTTTCACTTAAAAATAGATGAAAATTAGTGCGCAGCAGACTTATATAAGGACCTGTTACAGGTCAACGCAGATAAATGTTACAATTTTTAACAATAACTGATCTGCTATAACGGAAACCACTTCAAGGGTCCCTTTCGAATTCGATAAGTTGCTAGGTTACAGCTCCCGAGGAAGTTAAATATATTTGAAATTGTTGATCGATTCGCAAAAGCTTATTAAAATTTGTGGGGACACTTAGGGTAGTTTCCTTGCAAGTATGCTGCATTTTACGTGTATATCCATGACGAAATAAATGCTTAATAATGAACACTTTTATAAATTGCGATTCTACGTCACCGGAAACGGTGTGGAAGTATACCCTGAGCTCAGATGCCCAAAAACTGTGGACCTTGTTAGCCATTTCAAGGAGTATTGCAGAACAGATAACGTGAAACTTCAAACCGAATACAGTTAGTCTCGCTATATGGCTTCCTTTTGTCTATATCGCCATGTAGTATTGCCACACATTAGATTGACACAGTTTTCTACAGTTTCTTTGAGGGCCATATAATGAGACTCTACTACAGTATACGAATTACATCATACGTCACTCCTAACAGATTATAGATCTTTCTTTACAAAGTTTCGAGTTTAACGTTTTCCATACTGCGTTAACTGATTGCCGATAGGATCGGTTACTAAATTAGGACTATGTTCTTATCAGAAATTCTACTATCGTTCATTTTACAAGAAGATACCCGTTTAAGTACAATTCATAATTTGCTGCTTCGACGCTGTTGACCCTTATTATCAATTTTCTGGATTACGATAATTCGTATACATTTGGCAAGTAATTTCACGCGTGTCCAGTAAGAACATAGTCCGAAAATCGTTTTAGAATCTCAGTTACAAGCCGCTAGTTCGTTCAGACGTCATTACACCTCGCCAGATAGAAAGAAAGAAATAGAAAGAATAAAGAATAACGACGCTTTTCCGTGTTTATCCTTTTTAGCGCGAAACACTTTTTACTTCCGTCTGAAGCTACGATTTATCGGGCATATAGATCCAATTCAAAGATAATCCAGCTTTATTTCACGCTTCTAATCCGTACCCTCGGTTCAACGTAGTCGAAGACGATTTCGCGTTCCACCGTTTTACAACTGAACACAAATTACCTGGCGATTCCTGCCAGTATAACATAGTCTTTCTTCCTATATATATATGTGTATGTATACCATATAGAGTTACGTATCGTATGTTAACAGAACAATTTAAAATCTTAATCGCATTGTTTTAACAATAATTCGTACGTTTCCTTTGGCAAGTATAGCGTATTGTCTTGTGACTGTAACACAGCAAATAAAATCGTACACGCTTCCCTCTTCCACGATGTTAATCGGTTCGCTTGAACGAACTATTACTATTATTACCATCGATAGCGGTTTTTACCCCTAGGTACAGTGTATTCCAGAATTAAATAAATACAATAATCGTCAAAGTCGATTACGCTTCAAGTATTATATTTACAGTATAAATTTACACATGAATTTCAATTTGAAAATTAGTGATTTTACAGAGCCTACATTGATAGAATATTTTAGGTTCAATCTGAAAATCATTTCATGAAGCTTGCAGCGTGAAAGCGTTAACAGATGGAACAGTCTTTCAATAATCGATTTCCTTTTGAAATAAATTGACCCGATAAATTTGCTGCGCCAATTACAATAAAAAATTCAAATTTTAGATGAATTCATCCCTTAACCTATAATAGTACATTTATAAAAAAATCTTTGTCCATTAAAATGTAGTTATATATTTTAATTAGAAAGAAAGTATACTGTATATACATTTGCTGAACACCAATCTACGTGCGTAAATTAGTTTTTAATAATAAGTAGGCAGCAAACATAATTCTCTCTCGATGAAGAAATTACCCGGTTAAAAAGTTAATTATGAGTAAAAGTTTAAAAAAAGGGTATTCATCGATAGTCCGGGTAATTTAACAGTTTAATGTGGCTTACTATTTAATAATTCTTCAGTAAATTTCTACGCGGTATAAGTTATCGGTTGCAAGCCAGAAATCAATAATTTTACAGCATACATTGTAGGACCTTTAATCATTCAAAGATGGTATCATGAATTTTGATGCTGTTAAAGCTATAATAGGAACAGCCAATAATCGATTTAAAAGTATAATCTGGAATAAATTATAAATAGGTTTTTAATTCTGGAACACCCTGTACAAGGGTTTTTACTTAATCTCAAGACAACAGACTACTTTTGTTACAATACATTCAGCACTGAATGGTGCCCTAGAATGGTCCGAACTCCACCTTCACCGATTTTTCTTATTCAGTCATGGATCTCCATTTCTTTTGCACGCTTTCAACCGGTAACACGACAAAGATCACTTTATCGTTCTTTCACCGGTATCTTTTCTTCCATAAAGGTGTTCGTATACTTTCACGATAACTACGAATCCCTCGATGACCAAGGTCCTTTCTACCCTCCGACTTTCGTGAAAACTGCTGGCAAGTTAATCTGAAAATCGTAAAAGGGCTTGTGCACTCTGCAAAAAGGCTTTTCGTCGTTTTCAGTCGAAAACCGAGAATTAAACTCGCGGATATTGGATTATCCGGCGCGTAACTCGCTAGGATTCGCGGAAAAATCAAATTTTCACGCGTGCAACGCGTTTCCAGGACAACCGTGTTCGAGGAATATGATTTACCAGCGAAACAGGCGGCCGGTGATCGCCGTGGCGGTTGCTTTTCAATAACGATGATTCAGGAAAGCCAGCAGAGTCGTTGAGATCATTACGAAGGGTAGATTCGCCAGCCTCAGTTGGCCACCGTGTTGCATCGCCGCTGGATGTTCCCCTGTCGAACAATGATTAAAATTCAAATTGAATTCTATCCTGCCAGCCGTAGTCTTATTGGAATTGTTTCGTTGTTCTACCAGACCCTATATACAGGGTGGTCTTACAAATAACTATGTTACTTACATTAAATTTTAAACATTAAACATATTTTTATTTAATATCTCCTCGTTGACTATCTTTATTGTTTCGTTGTTCTACCAGACCCTATATGCAGGGTGGTCTCACAAATAACTATGTTACTTACATTAAATTTTAAACATTAAACATATTTTTATTTAATATCTCCTCGTTGACTATCTTTATTGTTTCGTTGTTCTACCAGACCCTATATGCAGGGTGGTCTCACAAATAACTATGTTACTTACATTAAATTTTAAACATTAAACATATTTTTATTTAATATCTCCTCGTTGACTATCTTTATTGTTTCGTTGTTCTACCAGACCCTATATGCAGGGTGGTCTCACAAATAACTATGTTACTTACATTAAATTTTAAACATTAAACATATTTTTATTTAATATCTCCTCGTTGACTATCTTTATTGTTTCGTTGTTCTACCAGACCCTATATACAGGGTGGTCTTACAAATAACTATGTTACTCACATTAAATACTTTTTCAATTTTAAACTTTAAAGATATTTTTATTTAATATTTCGTCATTGACTATCTTTATTGTTTCGTTGTTCTACCAGACCCTATATGCAGGGTGGTCTCACAAATAACTATGTTACTTACATTAAATTTTAAACATTAAACATATTTTTATTTAATATCTCCTCGTTGACTATCTTTATTGTTTCGTTGTTCCACCAGACCCTATATACAGGGTGGTCTTACAAATAACTATGTTACTCACATTAAATACTTTTTCAAGTTTAAACTTTAAAAATATTTTTATTTAATATCTCCTCGTTGACTATCTTTATCGTTTCGTTGTTCCACCAGACCCTATATACAGGGTGGTCTTACAAATAACTATGTTACTTACATTAAATACTTTTTCAATTTTAAACATTAAACATATTTTTATTTAATATCTCCTCGTTGACCATCTTTATTGTTTCGTTGTTCTATCAGACCCTATATACAGGGTGGTCTTACAAATAACTATGTTACCCACATTAAATACTTTTTCAATTTTAAACTTTAAAGATATTTTTATTTAATATCTCCTCGTTGACTATCTTTATTGTTTCGTTGTTCTACCAGACCCTATATGCAGGGTGGTCTTACAAATAACTATGTTATTTACATTAAATACTTTTTCAATTTTAAACTTTAAACATATTTTTATTTAATATCTCCTCGCTGACTATCTTTGTTACATTACCAACATTTGTATTATCAGTCAATTTCATTTTTAATTTGAAATATATGGAATCCCGAAAGTGACATATAAATCGGAACACGTAATGGTTGAATATACGTTTTCTTCCTGCACTCGATATGGCGTACTATCAATGCTAAATATTTAATAGCAGAATACTGTGAGCTCCGTTGTCACAAAGAGCTTCGAGTATTATACCGAAGAGAATTAATTTAATACAAAAAACCACTGTCGAATTAGATCCGATGTTGAAGTACAAAGCGTTATTAATAAATATTTCACATAGTAAAGAGAATTGTAGTTTTTTCCATTATCGATGAACAAAGAAGAATTGATGCATGCAATAAATTTGGTACCATTGTGTTCTCAGAATTGTTTTGTACGCAGGCATGCATGAAAAACGAAGCTCAATAGATGCAATTTGAATTATACCAACGAGGTATTGCGGCGTGAAAGTTTGCATCGTTTTCAAGGCAATTTTCTTGATTAATATTCCGTGATTAATACGTGAATTTTAATTAAAATATCTTCCTACTTCTGACGGGAAATTAAACTCTTGTTAATTGCCATGTATTAACTAAAATGGATGAAAAATTATATTTGCAACTGAAGGACATTTCTGCGCATCTCTAATAACGTTAAATAAACATTCGAAAGTAGATATCTTGGCGGAAGAGCGAATAGAAATTACGTTTCACCCTAAAGTATTCGCTGGACGTCTATACAGAAGCTTTTTAAAAGGGAAACTTTAGTTTTTCTAACACTCGTGTGCTCGACGCGAAGCTAATTTCTGTCATCAGTATGTAAGTACATCGTAGCCGGAATTTAAAACAGCCTTCAATGGCCTCCTCCTACACTTGGTAGGTCCTTATGCTCGTCTGAAGAGTCTCTGTTACACTTTTAAGAAGAAAGCGTATCGTCTCTTTGAAAAGGGAGTGATCTTCATAACTCGAATGCTTTCCCTATACAGATTCACCTTCGTACGAATATCTCTCGTATCCTGCGACTCTCGTTAACGAATGAATTTGAAAACGTAATTATTTCATTACCATTCTTCCGATATTTTTATTCTACATCGGAAAAACGTGGAATTTTTAAACATTATTCACAGCTCGCACGCGGTGCATACCGTAATCGATAGCCGAAACTTGATAAATAATTTGATTAATGGCCATTTCGATATTCCCGGGAAAATTGTAATCCCGTTGTTACTTGATGCTAATTAGTCATCTCGAATTGTGTTATTACGTGTCTACTTTTAACGAGGGATATCATGTATTAATTAATGATCATTCGATAGTTTTGAATTCCGACGATTGTTCAGTAATTCGAAGGATAAAAGCGACCTAATCCATCGTAAACAAAAACTCTGGTTGCGGAAGTGATTTTAACCCGAGATTTTTCTTTCGAACGACGAGTAGATGGAAACAAGCCTCGAGGAATGAAACTCTTGGACGTCGACCGCGTACACCAGCCTGTATATCGATTTTATGATAAACTTCCTCTCTGTCAGCCTTTAATCCAGAACTCTACTTTCTAACGTTATCCATCCGGACAGTGTACGGTTTCGCAGAGTGTCTGCAATGGCTGAGCTCAGCTCGTCCTCTCTGCACTCTGAGAAATCTCTTTAATTACTCTTCCAACTCGGTCGAATGGTTTTTTGCTAAGACCGTTATCTTCTGCCAAGACCGATCGGATTCATTCGTTTTGTAAACGGGTCATAACCAACGGAACACGACGAACCTTCGCCGTATTATGAAATAGTGCCACGCTTCTTTTTTACTCGCTTTTCTTCGCGAATCGAAAGAGGAGAGCTTGGAGAGTTTCGTTGCAGAAACACGAGGTTGCGACAACGGAGCAGTTTTTAACGAGAATTCATTAACGGTCCAGTTAATGGGAATTCGTGAAATCGATCCCTTTGTCTCTTATGGTTTTAGCGAATTTCTTTGACGATGGCCCACTCTCTGATCCGCACTGATAAAACGATTGTACGACCTTACATTTAGCGATCGAATAATGTTTTTCGTTCGCTGAATAACAATGCCGATTCAGTCTATTTTCGAACGCAAAAAGATTGGCACAATTTCATTTCCTTACTCCGCGTATTTCTATACATATTTCAACAGTTTAGAATTTCAGAAATGCTATGCTGTTAATACAGCTTGTTCGGTTTCTCGTTGTAGCAAACAACGGAGCGATCGAGTTTCGGTGTAACGTTGTTCATTAACAGATATCGAATTTCCAATCGCTCGTATCTCAAATTGATAAAGGAATTTTCAATTTGTTTCACTATGAACTTGAAAACCAGTTACTTCATAACGTAATAAATTAATGCATATCATTAACGGATAATAGCAAATTGCAGCTACATTGTCCGACCATTATTTCATTCAACGCAGAGCCACTCGTGTTATATTAAAAATGCCGATACAAAGTTTATGCAGGAATTTTAATCACGGTTTAAGCCAGCTTAACGATGGATCGTTCCATAACATGCTGTACTCATTTCCTACAATCTCTTAAAGTTATCCTGTATCGTGCACCTGGTGCAACGCACCTAGTCTCCCTCAAAAAAAAATAACGAAAACGCCTCAAACGATAAAGTTACTCGCGTCTTTTCAACGTCACGTTATATGTATCGCGTAAAACTAGGAGAACATCTAAGAAAGCAGCTAGTTCCTTTACAAGGAGATACCGGGCAGGGAAAAGTGTTCGGGATGAAGAAATTTCGTTGTCCGAGAGTGTAGCTCATTTTTATCCTCGCTTAAGTTTCCTCCGTTAAAAGAAGCCAGGCAACCACCGAAACATTTTTCTCAGAATTTCAAACTCTTCCTTGCTCTTTTGATCGATGACGCTGCCAACATATCGAGACTTTGAGAATTATGGTCTTTGTACGATTTTGGAATTTTTAGATTTTTCGACTGAATGAATTTGATAATAATTTGATATTTAATGGTAAGTACTGTAAAGATCGCATGTAGGAAAATTTGTAAGTCCGAAAGTACGTGGAATTTTCAGATTTTTCAGCTAAACGAATTTGAGAAGAATTTGATATTTAATGGTGAGCATTGTAAAGCTCGCATGTAGGGAAATGTGTGAATCCGAAAGTGTATTAAATCAATTTCCCTGGGCGTCTGCAGAAATTTATACTTAAAGAACCGGTGAGTATTCAATTTCCAGGGAACAGAGTAAGGTAAACTCAATTTTCCGGATCTTTTGAGTTACATCTAACCGTTTCTCGTCGGTTCAATTAGGTAGGGGATCACTTGTTCAAAAGACTTCATCGTTCTCCAAGGTGTGCAATATTTTAAAAGCACGAACGCGTTGTATAAATTAAACGTTTCCTTGCTCTGGGTGTACGTGTGTACCTTCGCCTCCACACTCGAGTCACTTTCAATTTTCCGAGGAAACGCAATTTTCCCCATCCAACCGAGTCATTTTTTTCCCCTGCCTCATCACGGTCTTGTCGCGAAAGCTTTGAGCGTTCGGAAACGAGCGAAAGATTGCCGTACGTAGAAAAGGTTCTAGTTTACTCAACAGAATCAACAAGATGCCCAAAGTGTGCTATTAAACAATTTTCTTCTGGATTTTCCGACCATTGAATCGAGAGTTTCACGCCAACGGTTTCCTTCGACGACCACGAGAGTCGGCGATGCGGTTGAGCAAACGATTTCAGCGCGTTAACGCTTTGAGAAGAACGCCCGGCTTCGTGGAATTTACCACCTTTATAATTTTATTTGCCTTTTTATATTTAAACAGCGTCGGTATTTCGGAAGATTTGGTAACTTCTCTGGGAGGAACGGAAAGTGGTACTAAATTATATTAATACATTAAAATACCAACAAGATAAGAAATAAAAGTGAAAAAATTTCATCCGAAAGTTCCCTGAAAAAGATATAACTTTAGGTCGTAAACACGACGTGTAATCCTACATTTTGAGTTTAGTGCACTTCCGGAATACCCTCAGTACGCTGTTTCACCCATCTAGCAACATTTTCCTTTTTCGCAACTGGCACGTAAAAACGGCGTAAACCGCGATAAGGTAGCGAGTTATGTATCAAAGTCACGAGATACGCGGTACGAGCCGTCAAAGCGTTAAGAAAAATTTGGCCTGGCAGACAGGAACAGAGTGAGAGAGATTGAAAGTTTTTTCCTACAGATTATGTACATACCGTTAAGTACGTGTACCAGTACGGTTTTTGTGTTGGCGTTACTCGGATGGCAGGTATAGTGGCCGCTATCAGCAGGCTGAGCACGTTGCACCAGAAGATACGAGGTTGTAACTTCTCCTTTCTCCGTGATCACCGATACACCGCCCCTAGGACTGTCGTAGTTGATCACCTATATCGGGAGAAAAGATAGAGAGGGTAAGTTAAGACGGTTCGTTTTAACCGATGGGGGTTGCAAAGGGCGAGGAAAGGCGAGGGAGAGAATGTGTTCGAGTCAGCAGGAAGGCAGTTAGACGGAAAAACAGAGAGCGTGGCTAATTCTCTCGTTTTCGCCGATGAACGAATTTATTTCACCGTTTCGTTCGCTAACCGAATTGTCCAGAAATTCGTTTATCCCTGCTTAATGGAATCTCCGCTCGCAGGCCAGGAGCTGTACGTGAAATTCGTTCGGGGATCGACGGTAAATATTCGGTGGCAGGGAACCGAGGGAAAGAATAGGAAACGGAACGAGGACGAAAGATACAAGTTTCCAGCATTAATTTCTTCGGTACGAAAAAATCCAACGAATTGGCTCGAGCAAAGATATCGATCGATAATACGATATTACCCGGATTAATAGAAAAGTTAAAGTCTATTTCGTTTTAACCAGATTTCATTTTGGTCTTCGTTGCATGAAATCGCTGAAGAAAGACTAATGATCTCGTTTCCTTCTCGTTCCGTTTGGAAACGTCACCGAAATAAAATGATTAGCTTGTCGACGAATTCGTTCGCGTTTAAATGAAATCGTAAGCCGCGAAGGTACTGCTGTCTGTAGAATTTAAATGGAATTGTTAACGAGCCACCGGCAGCTCTCGTTAGCATAAACTTTGAACACGACAATCATATCGTGCACGTGTTTCAAATTACGATTATTTATACGCTTTTATCGTGCAGGTTCATCGAATTCCAAAACAGCAGAAATTGCGAGTCGTTCCATAGGAATCTCCAGGGTGAAACGACGCGATACCGTGAATTTGTACCAGCGAGAGAGGAAAACGAGACTTTATTATCAATTTATCGGGAACGAATTAGCTGGCCGACAAAGGGGTGAACGAGCGTGAACAACGAGCTGGGTCGTTCCGTTTGTTTCGAGTGGCATCTCGAAAACTCGAACATCATTGTGCTGAATTATTTATTAAAAGTACGCTGAAGCTTCAATTCATTAGGTACAGACAATGCATAGTTGAACAAAAACAACAATTTACTAATGATGTTAATCCTTTAACAATGGGGTTTCCTTTCAATTGTGCCAACGAATGATCGGTATGCTTTCATTAATCATTTCCTATGGTTCACATAATTAAGATGCTAACAATGCTATTGAAAATGGACAACGGAAATATTGCTACTCTAATTGCTAATGGTAATCAAAATTTTCAAAAATTCCGCCTTTCGAGTTATTATTTTACGTTAAGTAATATAATCGAAAATAAAGTTTTCGTTAATTGAACCTTTAACGTCGCGTTAAATTATCTAATACGTAAACGCGGAAAATAATCTTGTCCCCAAAGATTTATTCGCAATATCACATCGTTCACCGCGACAGCTGGCAATAAAGGAAGAAATATGAATAAAATTTCGCGTACAATAAATATCAGCTATTCTTTTTTATTTCGACGATAGAACTCGAATCATTTCGCGCTCAAATATAGCCCCATATGATTTGTGTCGCCATCGTGAGAATACGCCAAATGACTTGGTTTATTTTTTATTTTTCGAACTTTTTAGCGCACGCGAAAACATTCGTCTCTTTCTGCTTGATAAATTAGTCAACGTGCGTGTTCCCGCGAATAATCGCGATTCGTGCCACGATATTCCATTCTATACGAATTTTCCATCGATTTTGCAAATACATTCGGGACCAGTATAAATAAACGAATGAATAAATAAATGAAACACGTTGTGATTACGTGACGTGAAATAACGAGCGTTTATCGTGGATTTTGCGGTTGGAAAAATAGAGGACATTAATGTGACTGGATCAGATGTAACTAAGAAGATTTGTCTTTTATCTTGAATTCATACATCATACCTTTGATCTCTCGATTTCGATTTTCTATCTTTTCAAATTCTCTGTGCTCGTATATCTCAATATTCGTACATTCTGGTATTCCCAAGTTCCTATATCCCTATGTTCTGATATCCCGGTATATCTACACTCCGACATTTTCAAATTCAGATCTTCCTAGGTGTCGATGACCTAAGACATCCCTAGATCCCTATATATTAACATTGAATCCTAATATCCCTAAACTCGATGTTTCTACACCTGTACATATCTATCATACTTTATATCTATCCATCATCCATAATAATATAAAAAAGTGACTGTGTAAATTCATGCATAAGATTGTTAATAAACCGAAAACAATCGCGGACAAAGTTTCGATAAAAATGGCTCGCATTTTATAGAACGAACGAAAATCACATTTCGTTGTAGTTTCCCTTTTCGACGACGTGAAACGTTCAGTTTTATACCTCGAAACTTAAGCTCGTGTTTCCTGAATTGTTTTGTTTTTCCAGCGTTGCATTTAAATCCCACCGTTTTAACGTGAAACAACGTTCGAGTAACGCGACTCCGGTGTATGCATTGTTCCTCGATATCGCAGTTGTTGACGAAAAAAATTCATACACGCTTTGAGATACGCGATATTTGCGCGAGGAAGGTAGGAATCCTCGCGACACCGAAAGCTTCACCGCGGATCGATCGATCGATTGCCGACACATCAGGCCGAGCACGCGTGTAAACTTCGTTTGCTTTTGATTCGATTTAGAAACAATCGCCGGTTCGAAATCCTCGAGCGTCCATTCCGACGAAACGGCGGGTAATTTCTGTTTGCGAGACAGATTTATACAGGCCATATCAAAAGAGAGACATACACAACGCTAAATGCTATTTGTTCGCGATAAAGAGAAATTGAAAACTATACGTTATCGTTTTACGCTATCCTATTTTCCTTCGAACCAATTCACCGTGCGCGATCGAATCAGTAAATTATCTTTCGACAAAAATTAGGTATCGTTCGGAAAGGAAGAAATATTCGTCGAGCGAGAGAGCGCGAAAATCGAGAGAGGCATTTTTGAAATAATCGGTACACGATCGTTGAAATTGCAAACGCTGCAAACACCGACGATAAAACAATCAATAAACGTGGGCGAATATTTGAAATCGATCGTGATCGTAGCTGTCCATATCCGTCATCGATGTCTAACTGAAAAATAAATCGTGTCACTGCACGTCGAGCATAAATTACGGGAGCGGACAGATGTTAATGACAAACAACCGGCAGGCTCGCGCGGGGAGGTAGGGAGAGATCATTTCGCGTTCAATCGCGGCTGAACGTGTACGAGAAAGCGGACAGCCGGATACAGGAGCGGGAAACAATTATGGCACTGTGCTGGAAAATGAAAAACATTTGTTTAAAAACGTAGCAACAAACGAGATTCGTTCGCGCGGAAAAAGAAACGGGGAGAGCGAAGTTTTGTACCAGCGAGCTGGCGTAATTACAGCGTCCCGGAGAAGGGAGAACTCTTTTTACGTCCTCGACAAATCTTACGGAGAAGTTTACAACTTCCGGCTCATTGCTGATTGTCACCGTGTGTTAAGAACTTTACACCGGTACCGTTCGGCGGAGATAAATAAAAGCGTTAACTTTTACGGTTGATCAAAATTCTGTTACTCTCGCGAACGTGTATCGTCGATCTTTAACAAAAGTAATAAAAATCCTTCGTGAATTTACTGAATCGAAAGAAAAAACTCGCAGTTGTCGAACAAGTTCGCGAAAAATCTTGTTAAAAAGTGGAAATATCTTCGAAAGACGAACAAGAACGTTGATTTCCGATGGCGCAACTTGTTATCGATGAACGATAAGAGGAATCTCGCAACGTGACACGACACGATATTAAGGATAAAGGTTAGTTTCCGACGATGATCCAGATTTTGCGTTTAACGCAAGTAACAGAGATAGGGTGTCCATTACCATTACTGTAACTTAGAAGTTGGTTCAGGCTTCATGGTTTCATATGGCTGCGTTCGTGTTCCAAACTACTTCCGCCCCTCGTCTCTCTGTCAATTTCCTTCCCTATCCACCTGTGCCTCGGTACATATCCCACGGTAGCATTACGCAAATGTTATTATTCGACGGTGGTGTACGGTTTCAGTTTGCCTATTTAACGCCGCTCTTACTCCCGTAGCAATTCCGTTAGTAATCCTCCTTGTTAATCCCTAAGAAATTGATAATCTCGAAAATTATTCCTTCTTCTTTTCCTCGTGAAACTTCAAACGAATTTTCAACTAATTTCCCTTCGTATTAAAATTTGCATTTGTTCGTTAAATGTGCTCCGTAATGAAAATTCAGTGTAACTATCACAAATATTTGCTCGTCGTTATTTTATTCGCGGTATAAGATATTCTTGCTTGCGATTATTTGGGATTGTTTGATGTTCAATGAAGGGAAAGAGATCGGGCTTATGGATTATGCAACAGAACAGAGGGTCGTTTATCATTCATAGAGGAGCATCGTTAAATCAAAGAAATGATATTTTTATCGGATAAAAAGAGTTTGCGTGGTACGTAGTTGGAGCTCGTTTCGACCGATTCCGCGAGAAATCCTGTATTTGAGAGCCATAAGTAAATGTTATCAGGGCAACTATAAATTCCATCCAGAATCGATACAATCACCCTGCCTTACCCTTCCTCGTTTCGCCGTATCATTTTCCGGACCGTGTGCTTTGCCGTTTAAATTCCTACGTCGTGAACCCGGTACACATCACGCGTCCCTACGAGATTAACCGTGTAATTTTTGCCAAACGAGAAGCAGGAAGATGAGATAGCCCCCGGTTACGACTGCAAACGATATCGTTTCGATGCGTAAATTTCCCTTGGAACAACGTTATTGCTAAAGGGAACCGTCGGTCGTGCCGTGATAGACGTGCTTTGCAAGTGGGAACGCGAAAGGGAAAAATGGAGAAACGGATACTTCTATCAGCCATTGTTGAGGATTCTGCGAAACGTACAGAGATGGTTGCATTATCTGCTTTTAGCTCGATCTATTCTAGCGACTCAACGAATCGATTTGTTAAATTTTAACATTTTCGAATTTAATGTAGGAACTTTTGATACTTGCAACCCCC